AAAAAACAAAAAAAAAAAAAAAAAAAAAAAAAAAAAAAATATATATATATATATATATATATATATATATATATATATATATATATATATATATATATATATATATATAAATTTGATAGAGATGATGATGTTATTCAATTCTATGTTGGATCAAGCATAAGAGATTATTTCGGTTTTTGTTTTTAAAAAAGAAATGAATAAACAAGAAGATGGATAGAAAGTCATATGCCACTTTGAAAAAAAGGAATTCTTGTGGCATTCCATTCTGCTTCGAAATGTCAACCCACAAAATGTCATTAATGATCTATGCGGCTTGGAGCAGCTGGCAGTTTTAATCCCAGACTCGTGGGCGAACCCCCTTACATGTGTATTTGACCTTTGTGTATGTGTGTATTTAGTAAGTGACATGCATTGCGTATTAAGCATGTGCACGTGGCGTAAACGACGCACTTATGTCCGTAGTGGGTTTAAACTGGCAAACGATCATTTGCCGCGAAATCTATACTACTATCACGCGACTCTCCGTACTACATGTAAACCTCAAAACCGGTGCCTGCATTGAGTTTGTCGTGGAAGAATGCTCTGGAGTGTCTCGTATGTATGTCTTGTGTGCTTTTTCTGTAACGAAATTACGCTTGTTTTAAAAGTGCTCGGTGTCTTACCAGTCAAGTGTATAGTCTTCATTAAAATGATGCGATTCACTCTTTACAGTAAAACTCACATGTTACGCGCTAGTCCCGTTTATTGTCATTGAAATATTCCATTTATATGTATGGTTATTTCAGAGTATAAGAGACAACCGTCCTAGTCGATATTCCTACGGAAGAATTCGTTGACCACTTAATTAAGTCATGCGCCATATATAAGCCACTTAATTAAGTTATATGTCCTATCTAAAGCAGATGGTTAAGTCACATTGTATCCTGTATAATAACGTCACTTTGTCTTATCCGAATCTTAATATACTAGAAGGTTGGTATTTCTGTTACTCGTTCTGAAGTCTTGGAAATGTATTAAATATACGAGTAATGCTTTGGCGGGTGTGGAAAGCATATCTGTGGATGCCTGAATGTTTATTTGTGAATTTTCAGAAAAATAGCTTTAAAGAAATGAGAGGTGAGAGCGGAGATGTATTTGGAGGCCACGGTAGCCATCCATACTATACTTCTTTATTCTGTATCATTTTATGCATGTTTTGGATACGCATATGGTGTTGTTTTAATTGCCACAAGTTAGGGGTCATTCAGAACAGTGGACTAACTAGTCCAAGATCCAAATCTGGCCGACCCACTTGGATACTTCCCCACAGGATATCTATTCAATGTCTATGAGTGGTTTCGACGGCAAACTTTATAGTGGGTCGCCATATTTGACCCTTGGACTAGTTAGTCCCCTATTTTGAACGGGTCCTTAGATAATTAAGTTCTTTACATTAAATTCATTCAACTGCACGGACCCCATTATACTTTTTAACGCCAATTGAGTCCTTCACTTTGTTTTTGCTTGCAAAAGAAGGTGAAGCACCCTCTTCTCCAACTGTGCCGGAATAAAGTGTTCAGCATTTCAAACACAAAGATGTAAAAACTGTGATATGCGCTAGACCTAATCAAGTGAGTTCTTATATTCTACGTGTAACACGGCTTTGTTTTTTCACATTAAGTCCACATCTTCTTCTTCTTTATCGATCTGACGTTGCATGACTTGGGCAAATCCTGGGAAATTGTAAGTAATCCAGGAATATGGAAGTTTCCATCTGATCAGGCCTATGTCTTTAACCTTTCAGGTACGGAAGGCAGACCGCGGCATACATATCATTTTAATCAATACGCCATCGATTAGCTCCCAACCCAATGTCCGGGACTACCTAAAGCGGAATCTGGCGTACTGAAAATATCTGGTACAAGGTAATATAATATAATATAATATAATATAATATAATATAATATAATATAATATAATATAATATAATATGACTCACGAAGACATTCAGAGAGCACACAACGTAATATAACATAGGTCAAAAAGTAAAAAAATATATATCAAGAGGATTAAGCATAAGTAAAGAAGAATAGAAGAATAAATAGAATAAAATAAAAAAGATGGAGTAAAACAAAAATACGCTGAATAAGGTCTGTAAATGGAGATCCTTCTTTTGATAAAAAGCAAAAAAGCTCTTTACTAAACGCCGAGTATTCTATTGGTGTGTGTAATCGAAGGCTGATCGTACCTGGCTTATGCGGGAAATGAACAATGGATTTTATCAAGCCGTGAGTTAAAAGCCACGAGGGCAAATCTTTGTATGGATTAAAACTATGAAGATATTTTAGGTCGATGAGTTATTACAAAGCAATTGTCCCCATCAGAAATGTTTGAGGAAATGAAATCTTGAAAAGGAAATACACCCGTTTTCTACTTCTTTCACAACTGCAAAACGTTGTTTCGATCTACCCAGTACAATGACACAGTTAGGTTTCCTTTACAATCCATTGCTAGACAAGTGTTTCTCACGAGTAACGATGTCACCCCCCCCCCAAATGAAATATAAATAAATACACACACCTGCAAGGCCACACGCACGCACACACGCATACACACTCACACACCTTTTCACACGTAATCTGTTCTGTCGCCTTTCACAGCGTTCACGACGGAGTGGCTGCATATAATCAACATTCCAAAAGCCACCTGTCACCCGTCTCCCTAGTGTCCTTTGCACGGGGCAGTAGTGACGGTTTTCTGCCTACTCTTCCTCCTGGAAACTGGTTGCAATTTTGTACCCGTTCCGGGTATTCTCCAGGGTGTAGCCTGGACACTGTACAAAACAACAATAGTATACATCCCTGAAAGCCGTCTAGCTCTTGACCCTAGATGTGAAAATTGCCAGTACGTTTCATAATTCCGAGTTGTTGAGATCACCCATATCTACCCACATTATAGTGCACTTCTGAGATAAGATAAACGGTAATGACATTTTCATATACATTACATGTACGTGCACTAGGCAAGATAAGAAAAAGTATGTTCACGTAATTCATCAAAAGGGAACAGCTATAGGTGATGGACGAGGGGCACTTTTATTAAAGTATATTATTAATGATATTTATCACATTTTGATAAAACTCATTAGAGACACGGTGCGTCAAAGCAACTTGGAGACGACAAAAACTGGTCCAGCGAACCGACGTCATCATAAGCGTCTCTCCTTAAGTACCGTCTTCATTGATGCTCGGTTTAGGCTTGCAGGAAGATTAAGAATTCATGGCGTCTTAAGTACTCTATGTGAGAGTTAAATGCAGTTTGTGATTTTTTACGTTAAGCAAATATTTCATGCTCTTGCAAGAAGAATAGTAAAAGCCATATCAGGTCTTAATGTGTTCACTAAGCTGATTATGTATATGTGTGTATATATGCGTAAGAAAAAAAGAAAGTATGAACGAATAAAAAAAGAAGGAAAGGGAATTGGGGAGGTGATAACAATAACATAACATGTTACTTTTAACTATTTGAGTCATGCTATTGTTTATTTTTTGAGCAAAGTCCTCGTCAGAGACTGAAAATCGAAAAAGCACTTATTCGCTGAGGTGACAACCGCTTGCTTCTGGGAATGTTTATTCAAAGACATTTAATGGCGTTATGAGTCGATCAGAAGTCGTGTACTTTAATTCATTGAGGAATGGCTTTGAATATTGGTTCGATATTTCTGCGTGATTTTATGACCCGAATAATGTGTGAAAACTGCAGTATAAGCGAAGTGTTTGTGATGCATGTATTCTCGTTTTCGTTCAAGTGTAAGTACAAGCTGCATTTTAACTACCAGGGTGTCTGGCGAAATTTTCAATAGGCTTTTGCCATTTTTGACTTAGATGTTCTATGTGTACTTAAGGCTTAGTATTTAGATGTCAGTTTTCAAGGAAATTGCCACTCATTTTAGCCAGTGGAACAGCTCAACAAAATGGGAAGTGGTTCTTATCAATAAGCTTAGCAATTGAATTTAGATGTAAAAAACTGGACACCTTCAACACTCGAATGCTTCTGTGGAAATTGAAAAAACATAAGAGCAGTAACAAAAATGCCATAGAACACACAATTTTTGTAAATGCTAGCACCTCCAGTGGCACGCATCAGTATACTTGACAAGTTTACAAAAGCCGAGAAATGTTTTGAAAAACACACGCCCTACCTAAATTCACGTGTCAAATCAAGATACATATATCAAGACATATGTAAACTTGATGCCCCCTGCCGAAATTTCTAGCCCAGCTAAGAATATCGACTTTAAACCACTGATGGCATGATTCGTTTCCGTAGATGCCGGCCAGCAGAGTGAAATCACCAATGTGCTAAAAACAAAACAAATCAACTACTCTCTTCTTTTGAATTTCCTGTTGTTTCTATGAGCTTGAAATCGTATTAAGCACCCTCAAATAAACCCGGCGCCTCAAGCTTACAGCTTCCGAGTACGAATTCTGATTTTGTTTGAAAGAATGGATAGTCACCAGATTGATCATACTACATGAGGCCATTTTTGTTTGTTTGTTTGTTTGTATGTTTGGGTGGGGATTTATATCATGTTTTATAAAATAAAATATCGAATACATGAATACTCAATAATAGGTTGTTATACTCTACTTTTCTAACTGGCGAAAAGGCTGTCTCAATTGGGAATTTACGAAGTATTTCTAAGTTAAGAGCTCCAAAGAGACATTGTGGAGAGTGCCAAAATAATCTCACTGATTTCATTTTTTCGCACCAATTTTTTTGAATGCCAACCCCTTGCTTTCGCTGAAACCATACAGGTTATTGCTTTTGAAAAGAAGAAATTTACATTTGCGACCATGTTTGACGTATATAATGGCACCATAACATATGTTTACAGGACTGCATGTACCAAAACGTAGTGTGCCACCTCGCTGCAGAATTTCTTCGAAGTACTTCGAAGTGTATCGCCATTTGCAGTAGACATTGTACGTTTTCATCATTTTTATCAGAGCTCATAGGGAGACCTTACAAATAAAACCACATTGAATTCCAGGACATGTCTCTCTGCGCGTTCGGGAATTATATTATCTCATGTTTGCAAAAGCGAAGAAGATTAAAAAGCTGGCGGGTTTCATAGTCCGGTTCACGGGAAATTACGTCCTTTGTCGTACGAATGTAGGTATTCTTCTTCTTGTTAACTGCAGAGATAAATAGCAAACCCTAAGAGGTAGATGTGATGTACTTAGGCAGCCACATAAAATTCTGGAAGGAACATTTATTGGGGGACATTTCATATACCCAATCGTCTTTTAGATGTTCAATAATCTTTTAAGCCGCACACTGAAAGAAATCAAACGTTTGAGGACTTCACAGAATTATACTGGCATGTTCAAAGTGAAATACACGGTCTAGCTGCCCAAACCAAATAGCAAACCATACAACAACAGTTAATCTATTCTGTAAGTTATTAGGATATCTACGTAAACAAAGCCGATCAGGCCACGTAAGTAGCTTTGACTTCAGCACCAATGACTACCATCTGCAAACTTTTGCTGACCGTTACTAAATCCAAAACCGAAGATTCTAAAATAGATATGAATGATTATAACCATTAATTTTGTTTTAAGACGTGTCATTTTCCGGTTTCAATAGATGTTGAATGGAATTGCCTCCCGTTTTCTCGGACCTATTAATAAAAGAAATATATAATAATACTGATCAATGAAATAGATTGCACATTTTTTTGTGGCGACTCATTCCAAACGTGATTTGATTAGATATCTGTAACACATTATTGGGTATTCATTAGATCGGATTAAAAACCACTACCCATGTCAGAGCAAAGAGACTAAACAGTTACGAGAACCGTTCGCACGTCCCCCTCAATCTTCAGTGTTTCGCCTCATTGGGTGTGTAATTCCCCCAAGGCGCTGACTAGATCAGGATAGGAACGTCGATACATTAATTTTACGCCTCTCATTATGATAAAACACCTTACCGCTAATGAAATGTCGAAAGATTAATTATTCAATTATCCTGCATTTGTTCATGTAAGTCATATCTGATGCGGGGTTTAATCTTTTATTTTCGACAGTATTCTCTGTTCTCTATGCTCGTGTAGTTTAATGAATGACAAAGTGATATTATGAGAAATCGGCCAACGCAGTTCATAATATCAGCATATTGAGAGAAATATGTGCAATATTAATACGGAGCACCGTGCATCTTTAACGGTTATTTAATGCAAGTGGGATATGCCGTTTCTCTTTCTTTTTTCGTTTTACATTTACATTTTTAGATACAGTTAACTACGCTTTTTATACCCGCGGAACAACCTGTAAACCATCATTCGTTACTGGTGGTTGGGATAAATGGGGTTTAATAAAACGGAGGCGATGAATCTGAAAGTTCACTGTGCCCTGTTGGGATAAAGCGCAAAAAAAAAAAAAAAAAAAAAAAAAAATTACAGAAGGGATCCCATTCCAACCATGCCACAGATTTTCTTCTTGTTTTAACTCTTGTTGTGTGCGCTAAAATTCCATTTTTTAAAAACCGTTGACCCCAAGACACCGGAGTGATTAAACTGGTATGGATTTCGTCTACGAATACACGATAACAGTTATATTTTGGCACACTTTTATGTTTCAGATTGCTGAGAGAGAGAGAGAGAGGGGGGGGGGAATCGGGGTCTCAATGCAGTCATTGTAACAACAAAAAAATACTTTATCATAACATATTAAGATTCACCTGCTTAGCTTGATTTCAGCATCTTGGGTAAACATAATAGCCAAGACTGATTTTTTTCTGGGGGTCAATATTTTCATAAAGAAATGTCAGAGGCACTCTTGTGAATAAGACTCTTGAAAATAAAACGTCTATATGACCATTTCGTTAATTTTAGTATACAAATGATTCATTAAGCATGCAAATTAATCACGAATTCGATTTGTTTACTGTTATGCATTCCCTTTGTAAATGAATCATCTCAAAAAAAGCTCTCATGTGAGTCGAATAAATAGAGAACATCGCATGATAAAAGAATCAGATATTCGATTACATAAAACCATCATGCAGTATAGAGCATTCAAATTATTAGTGTACATGACACAAACACACGCACACGCATAAATAAAAGATAAATTCTTGCTTTGAAACGCCCCTTTAATTGTTTTTACGTGTACAGGTACTTAATTCTCCACGAGCGGTTTATTAATCTTTGATTATAATACAAGTGAAGAAATTGCTCTCGAGTTGGTTTAGGTAGCGGATTCATGTAAATACAACAACACGGATGTTAGTTTATCCAGGCCACCTGCCTAATAAGATGCATGATTTCAAAATCTGCAATAATTTATGGTACAATGTACATTGAAATAATAAATAGAGTTGAAAACATTGTCAACCATTCGGACAGTTATTATGATCTCTCTCTCTCTCTCGTGCGTGTGTGTGTGTTTGTGTGTGCGTGCGCGTGAAATTGACAACTCCAGGACTACCTCACATGACTCTTTCCTGACCAGATTTCTGTGGTTGTTCAACAATGATAAGATGAGCACGCATCACAAGCAATTGCTACCCAATCTCTGCTTTAAACGCACCCGGGGAGGCTAGGGGGGTCTTTATTGCCATTAGTCTCATTTGATGGATATTGCCTGGATTTAATAGGCTGCAAGCAGACAATGAACATATTGTTGGGTTATTAGTTTCAACTGTATTGGGAAGCCGTATATACACCAGAGATTGAAAATGTGGTAAACAGTAATCAGTCTAATAATATGACTTAGTTCCAACATATTGTCTCGACACTCAGTATGTACATAATGTATGCAGGGTATGACATAAACTTTTACCAACGTCATGTCTTTGTCTTTGACTCATATATGTCATGTTATTGTCTTTGACTCACGAATGTTCGGACTAAATATCGCTGTAACACCCCTGTGTCGCTCAATGAAGGCGTTGGTCTAGACCATAAACACACTGACGCCTTTTGGAAATACAGAGTTCTCCTCGTCTTTGAAAGCGTGTAAGAATTCGGACCAGGTAATGTATTTGTTGATATAAGGCTGTGCGCAGTGGCATTTCAGGTGACCAAAGGAAAACGGAAAGTTAAAGAACTATTGTATTGCTAAATTATATCCTTAGCATTATCATATTCACAAATTATTTTAAGATTATTTCAATTATTCAGGTTTTTAACTACCGTATTTTCAATTTTGAAGTCACGTTTCCTTTGTTATTTTATTTTAAAACCAGCTAGATTTTTACTAATGTTTCTCTTCATACATGTATGAATAGACGTAGAAAAAATTTAACCCCAAGATGCTATTTCTTTTCTACCAGTCCAAATGAAGTTACCGTGAGCTTGTCCTACATTTAGACGATATTGATTGTCATAACGCATGCGTACCATAACAACACTTGTTGATGACTTCATTAGACCACAGTTATATATATCATATTTCATCCACGGACGAAAATCATTACGATCTTCAAATTAATTATCGACGGACTTCTCGTGTCCCCGCTCCATCGATATTATAAAGAAATTATTCTTAGGACTATTCTTAGCCAGTGATTTAATTCACCTAAAATTATATTCCAGAATATAATTTACCAACAGAAGCTGGACCCATGCATAGCAGTACAAATTGCAATAGGTTAAGCAAGGTAAGCGTTAGCAATATTGTTTTATATGAGATAAATGCAATATACTGCCAAGGTGTTGTAGCTTGTTCTGGATAATCGTTGTTTGTTCTTAAAAAAAAACAAATTCAGTAGCACAGTGAAACATTTTAGGTTTAACTGGTGGGCGTGTAGCCATGTTTTTGTCTGACATGTCCATGAAATAACCAACTGTTTTTGGAAACGGACATTATTACTGCTAGCTACATTTTTGTGATGCAGACTTTCAGTTCGCTAACTTTCATCTTCTTTCTATTTAATTTGATTGGGATTCAATGATGCAGCACAGCAGAGCCTTACTTTTAAGGGTTCTATTTTCTATGTTTATAGCACTTGGAAGAAGGCTACAAACCTTGACCCGTTGTTGTGTGCATTTTTACGCAGACCATGCGGTTTTTCAAATCAGATTAACTAATTTTAACAAAATCAGTTCAATATATATATTCAGTATTTAAGAAAGACACGTTTCATGACACTGTAATCCGTCCATTGAGTGATTGACCTCCTATCTGTTCTTCCCGACGGAGATAGGTGTGTTTTTTCCAGAACTGAAAGCACCATACACTCTCTGTTTTATCTTAACTTAACACTTGCACTTTGCAGCGGGCTTAATAAGACGTGGCACACATTTGTTGACTAGACTTATCAATCTTAGTGGGTGAGAACATTGTTCACGCACGTGCAACCATGGCTTAAATTGCGAAATGCTGTCAAGGGGACTTTTAAACTGGTCATGCATCTCGAGCTTCAGTCTTCCCAGGGGCTGCCAGGGATACGTTTTCAAAGTAACCAGCACTTATATATCTAGTTCAATTATTGCCAGCGGCACTTGCGTCAAGGCGTGAAAACACTTGGAAAAATTAAGACTTGCCAGAGACGTGAGTGGTCCGGACTGATATCACAGATAAGGGCAATAACAAGGGTCATTTATGACACTAATGACAAAATCTATTCTGTCAATCCTAATCTTCCAGAAGTGCAATTGCTTGCACGTCAATCTACGTATGATTGCCGGCTCTGCCACCATGCGAAACACGGCTGCTTTAACCGTTAGCCTGGGCATTTGTTACTAAGAATATTCGAGGAAGAAAGATATAAATTTCGGTCCCCTTAATGTTAATATATTAGATGTATGCTACTAACATTGCAAATTGAAAGTAGACATTTTGGACAAGTGACCCGCCTGTCGCCAGAGGCGTCAAACAGATCCTTCTATAGCCGTCAAGAATGCAACTGTTCCGTCTAAAACTTGTTATCTACGCATGAAGGTTGGGGCGCTCAACTTTGTATGAGTATAAGCAGTTATACGGAGATATTTGCCTGCTGCTTTATATTTCTGTTTATACTTATACAAGTATAGTGTTTCAGATGCGGCTATAGTTGTAGCAAAGGCTTACCCCAAAGTGTGAGTACGAGATATTTTGACAAACAGGCCTCCAGCTGACATCTACTTCAGAAAAGAAAGCTTGTAAACATATTTGCGGCAATTTAAGATCCAATATTACTCTTTCCAAAGACTCGGTTTGAAACGATCAGGCGATATTACTCTTTAACGACTTTTTATGTAGTTCAATAGTTTTTATGCCATAATTAGCCGTGACGTGGTATAACTTCCCGTAAAATCAACCTTTAATGGCGGATTGAGGTAGAGATTGGCAAGTCATTTGATTAATGCAACCGAGAAATAACCAAAGAAACGTAACACCTTATTTTACCGGAACATCACGTTAACTGAGGGGAAATAAAACGCGGACTAATGCTCCACGACATGTCAAATTCATTGAAAAAAACGATGAATATTGGATTCTATTGGCATGAATGTCATCTGGATCAGAGTTATGTACATGCTTATGTATATGTGTATAGTCTTTCAATTGGTGTCGATGTGAATTCTCCAAACATACACAATCTTTGTGATAGAAGTACGTTCTTTTAAATAAACTAAACTAGAAAAAGTATTTTAATTGTTCGCCGGGAAAGGTCTATTTGCCGCATGACAGTAATCAGTAGAGTCTATCACATGGCGCTATTTTTCGCCATTGCTGACGTGACAAACACTGGCGCCCTCTGAAGTTAAAAAGCTGTAGCTGGGAAAACATTATCCCTCAATTACTGTACAGGCCATGGGATTCTTTAATGTAAAAAGACATTATATTGATTGTATTTATCAGGGGAGAGGTAATTATTGTCCTAAAAATGTGTGTTTCATTGAATTTTTAAAAAACTCGAAAAAACTTTTTAAAAAATCGAAAATCTAGAAATATGCGTGTGTTCATTTTTGGCCTCTTTGCAACCCCACAAACGGAATTTGTGCAAAATTGTTTGTACTGTAAATAAAAACTTTTGCTGACTCATTGCATCATAATTTTTAGGATGATGAGTCGTATTGAATATTTGATATATAACTTTTATCCCTTAGGCCGTAACATTTATAACAGGCAACAATTTGTTACATTGTTAGTATAGTGGGGTTATATAATAAATGCGGCCTTGTTTGGCCAAATATCGAACAACCAATATTCTTTGTTCCCTTCTTTCTTGTTGTGAATGGAATTATGAAAGTTTGTGGTGCACTAGGAAGGAGGATGAGACATAAAGGTTCTATACAAAATAACCAGCAGATGTCTAAATGTCTTTAGATTATCCTTAACTCGATCATAAGACCAAGTAAAAACTACATAACGTACATACACGATACGTATTATGAAAGCATATCCCTCTTCATTTAATGGAGGCCTACAGCACACAAAACATAAATAGCAGCATGTACCCAACACAAAATATAATTTTTTCCTTACAATCGCTGTCTCTCAGTGCATATTATTCATTTTGTATCTTAAACATTCGATGTGTTATTATTCATCTGTCCGGATTATACACAAAATTGACGTGGATCATTAACTGTTAGAATATAAATAATCACATCAGGGTCGGGCATCGACCAGTGTGATCAAATACCTCATTTTTCGTCAATATCTGTTTGGGAGAAAGAAGGAAATTATTAGCCGTTTTTAATCTAGCGGCTGATAGTAGGGGGATAATCTGGATCATCTGGTTTTAAAATCAGGACTGGATGCTCCAAAGGTCTTAGACGCCGAGGCAAAGCAACGGGTTACTAAAACGGTTGTTCCAGCGTATAATGTATACAGATTTGTAGAAATGTCTTGCAGCGCCTTGTTCTAGAATCTATGAAATGGTCGGGCACAGTCCTGTATATATACTAGATTCTCAATTAATTTACGCCTTGTTTTGTGAAATGTCATGTGGCACTTTGACATCTCGTAATTAAAAATATAAGCATTTTATTGTAACTGTAAATCCATGAGACTTACTTTCTTATTGTCGCTTGCAAGGTTTAACTATCAAGTACTTTATTATAAGTATGGGTGACTGCTACTCTATTTCGCTTGTCGTGTGTATGAAAGAAGTCAGTTCGAATTAAAAAGAACTCACTGAAATAATAATTTGATATGAGAGTCAGTCTTTTCTTTTCATAATGGTTACATTTTCATTATTTTCATTATTAACTGTCAAGTTAAAGTCGAAGTTAATGAGATGTCACTATTAAACAAGTCCTTGGTGTCAAATGCTGTTGCTCGCCAGTCAATCACAAGGTTGCGTCTCGAATAGCTGTCAAATTAGTGTCAGCTTTGATGGTGCGGGTTCATACATCTCGGATGCGATCGTAGGTTACTTTGACCGCCATTTGTTAAAGTTGCTCGTTTATCTCTGTAGAGTTTATAAAATCAAATCACGACCCTTGGATAGCTAACTATTTCAAATATACGGACAGACAGATAGACAGACGGACAGGCAGGCATACGGACGGACAGACGGACAGACATAAAGGCAAACAGGCATCTGCTTACCTGTGCGAAACAAGTAGGCCTACGTTAACGTGGGTGGAGTTTTGGAACCGGTTATCTTTATGAGAAACAAATGGGTCTTTTACTGAAATGCCGTATTGCTATAGTTACGCGCTAATATAAGAGATGGAAAATAAATGAGATCATGCTTTATAACAGTATGACTTTGACTACAGACAGATCGATGCGTCACAGTGTGGCAGTGTAGAGTGTGTATTTAGCATCTGCTCTGCAACACAGGTGATATTGTCTTAATATCTGTGGGTAACCGTCATATCAAATTGTTCAATTGACACACAGTGCTGAGAAATAGAGAGAAGAAACTGCAAAAGACGATGGGTTTTATACGGTTGGTACGACAAATAATGCAGGCTATGTCTAATCGGTATCTGATATCCTGCTGGCAGAGATGTGCGTATAGGGATTCAACTATAGTGTAACCATATATTCCCATCTGTTCATTTATCAAGGTATTCTGTACAGATCTAATGGAGGCAATGGTCTAGGGGCCCATTAAATATCTAGAGCAGGTGTTTCCTACTCCTTGACTTTCAATCAAAGAGGCTGAGAAAGAAGGTGCTAATTTAGTTGTCTCTCTGAATTCGTGACAGTATAAATAATTGGGATATGTCATTGCTGTTCAAAGTGTAGTCTTATTTGTGTTATAATAATTTGTCCAAAATAAAGGTCGTGAATTAAATGCAAGCGATTAGCTAAACATGTATCGGTTATTGTATTTTTTGCCTTCTGTCTTTGGGAAAGATGAGCACATAAGTGCTACAGATAGTAACAGCGATAATAAAATGTCTCATTTCTCACAAAATGTAATAGCCAAGTTGGCGTTTAGAAATTGTGTTGATTTTCTCCACAGATAATAGATTTGCAAATTAAATCCACAGAAGCCCATATTGTGAGTGACATGAAACTTAAAATAAGAGAGCAAACATAACGTCTTAGGGTCTTGTGAGAAGGTATGGAATTCCCATAGTGTGCACGCCGATTTGACAAATGCCCAGTTAACGGTATCTGCATGGTCGCGTCCTCTGTACATTGAGATGTGAGCGTCTCCCGAGGGCCTTGTTAAAACAATCACTGTGTAAACCATGTGCATCTACGGGGCCGCTCACAATGAATTTTGTCGACCCAGCTAACGCGCTCTGCCTCCACGGAACTCTCGCTGAATGCAATTAGATTAACAGATGAACATGCCTCCTCTTGTGTACTCATTTAATCACCAGCTTTCTATCATTCTGCAAGGAGGAGGTGTGTTAGGCTCTATTCCCATAGATTTTAGATCGATCTATCCCCGCGGGGAGTCTCACTAGATTACTTTCAGATAATCCGACTTAAATGTCCGTCCCGCCTACTACAAGCTGTAAGGGGGTAATTAACTTTTGTGTCCGCCCGGCTGACAGCTATTTAGCGTGAACCCCCAGGGAGTTAGGTCGATCTAAAGTAGGTCGATCTAATGTATGGAAATGGGGTATTAGTCTTTCAATCTGATTGCATTCAGCGAGATTTCTCATGGACTTAGTGTACATTAGCAAAATTTATTGTGAACGACCCCTTTTATGTGATTCGACTTACGGTAGAAGTGAGATGAAAAATGGCTGCAGTTCAGACTACAGTATTTTAATTCTCAGTGCAATTGCAAGCTATTTTCGCATCTCCCTTGTATGATAATGGATTAACCGCATGTGATTTATAGACGTATGTCTCGCATTGTCTTTTAAATAAATCAAATCTTTTGCAATGTTGTTTCAGATCTCTACCAAGGAAGACACTGGTGGCCACGTTTGGGTATTTCGGACAGGTAATTTACTTAATTGCAAAATTCTGTTTCCTTCTTCGTGTTCTTACATTCACTAACCTTATTTTACTTACAAGGTACACATTCGCCTTAACTTTGAACTTAACTTTGGTCCCAAATCACACCATTATTTTCTTACCGCATTTCTGCATTCTTATTTATAGAGTAAAAATTACCAAAAAAATGCACTTTCTAAGTATTAATTCTGTGGTTGTAGGTATTTTTTTTTTATTTCGGCAATTTCGGTATTGCGATCATTTACTGAAATTACTTCCGTTGTATTGTTAACCCGTAAGTTCACCTTGAGCGATGCGATGCGATAGGTGACTGATGAGGTAATCGAAACCGCCACCGATGCGTTTATGATTACTATATGTTGTTTCATTGCTTTGATTATTCCTAATTACCTAGAATAACGGTAATATTGTTTCACTTCCACGAAGTTCTTCAGCCTCTTGGGACTACGGCGAGAAAGCATAATTGGATAATAAAAATACGACGCGTTTGATGTTACCGTTTTAAGTTGAAGAAAGCTGAAAGTGACAGGCGTTGGTGTCCATATGCTATTTTAATCGCTTTATATGCGTAAACAATTTTTGAGGATATATTCATTATAATTTGTGGAATGAACATAGCCTTTACGTAATACGGTGTGTGTGTGTGTGTGTGTGTGTGTGTGTGTTCTTAAATCCTTTTTTTCTGAGAATTGTGATATGTACGTAAACATTATGTCAGTGTTGTACAGTTATACAGGGCTTGTTGATTTTCCCTTACTCTTCATGTTAGGTGGGCTGTTTTTGCAATTAAATGCCAGCCATATCTTAAGAAGCATATCGAAGTTGACATAATGGCACTTATACGATAGTGACTACCATCAGAGGAGTCTTTGAGTCACAAAAGTCTTTTAAAAATTTAGATTTGCTATCTGATAATACAACAATGTCTTACAAAATTGTTGTTACAATACAAAATTACTTTTAACATTTTAATCGCTTTGACAACACCGATGTTTTCTATTGGGATTTTACACTTCAAAATAAGCAATAAATAAATAATAGGTTGTTTGTATAAAAAGGAATATGTCTATGTAAAATTTAATATTACGTACGAAGACTCATAAAAACCATGTATAGAGAGAGTGATTAAAAAAAATTAAGCAAAAGAAGCGTTGAGAAATTAATATAATGTTTAGAATGAATAGAAAATGTGACGTTGAGATAGGACATAAATGACAAATCTTGGGAAGTACAAAACAGTTATATTATACATTTAAAATGTTACTGTTTTGCAATACGAATGTCAAAGAGCAGCAGCATGACCGCTGACTTCGTGTTTCGTATCGGCGAACAGTCATTGCGGAAGATATTCTCATTAATTTAAATGCCGTCCCTCCCAGAAGGCAAATATGAACATCAGATTGATTTTGCTTAAACCGTATCGGCTGAATTAACTATCACTTCTTGTTACTTCCAGTTGCGGATAAGTTACCGTTATAAAGACAAATCACTGTTCATTACATACAATTTCAAAGGGTTAAATTATGTTGGGTGTCTGGACTTCTAAACTGCATGAAGTTGAGGGCAAATGTTTGTCACTACACAAATGAATACGGCCCATTTTACCCCAAATGTATTTGTTTAACTCAACTCAACTAAAAAGTAACATTTTTTTTTGCAAAATACTCCTTGAACTTACAATGGAAATTACAGGGTAAACGCATTTTAAAATGCACGTGTTAATGAACACACGCAAGTACTGATTGCGGGAGGTTTTAAAAAGTGCGACATTTTTGATGCAGATGTTGAAATTTGTAGCAGAGCAAGAATCATTGAAATATATCTTCTCTGGAGAGCATAACTGTTAGGTGATTTATTGTCTGCTCAGTTGCTTCATTTTCATCGCGACTGCTTTAATGAGGATACGTAGATCTACACTTTACTAGTGCCCTATTTGAATATCGAAAAAATGACACGTTGTCTCTATAATGTTCAAGATAATTGCAGTACTTAGGTCGCTAAAAGTTTACAGGGTCAAGTTACTATGTATTAACGCATCTTTTGTGGGAATCTTTTTTACCACTAACAACCGTAACGTGTTTTACACGTCTTCAAATGATTAAAAAAGACAGAAGAACAAACCAGAAACCATAACTAGACAAGAGGTGAGCAGGATTCAACATTTAAGAAAAATTAATTATCACAATATCCGACATATGTACGTATTCCAGATTATAGCAGATCCGAAACCAGCATTTCAAGGGGGACGTTTTCTAAAACAAGTGGATCTTTAACCATGAAACCTCCGTGTGCTTAGATCAATTTCAGAGCTTACCTTTTTTCCGGCATAAAGGGCAGTGCGTTCTAGCACCCGAAGCCCTCCTGGCTAAGGGCCTGTCTAGAGACCTTCTCCCAGTGCCCTCAGAATTTTCTGTAATAAAATGGCATAATTTAGTCGTTTATTGACCAGTTATCACAATAAAAACTATTTAAATACTAATAAAATTTTAATACATAAAATGTGCCCCCTGTGTATTCAATGTTAGTTTTGTTAATTTTACAGTGACGCAGAGCACGTTATTAGCGCTATGAAACAATACGCTGGCAAAATAAGAAATCAATAGGTAATTCTAAACAGACTATCAGAAATTTCATAATATTTTTTGTAAAGATGTTCAAGTAATAATATCATTTAATCTCTTTAACACTTACTTAATAAAAACCATTTCATAACCATAAAATGTCCTCAATTTATCTCTGATAGTAAAAAGGTGAAAATATATAAATGTATAATACGACTGGGTTCCCAAAAACCTATTGTACTAGCAGGATCGATCTAACTAGGAGGGGATTTTTGCTAATTTGCATTTAGTTTAAGCGGCTTAAATGTATATCACGCCGACTAAAGCTGCCAGGGGGGTAAATTAACTTTCGTGCACGCTTAAACTAATTGCAATTTATTTTCGAAATGTTCAATATGATAGCTTTATTTTGCTTGTTTTTATTTCGTTCATTTCAATACCCATTGACATGTCTTTATATTCAAATATATGAAAAAAGATATACAGACTTGATATTTAATATGGAATATTTTAGTTTCGAAGGTATGCTTAGGTAAAATGCGTTCTTTTATCAAAAAACTCCGATCTCATATAAGATATGTGAATGGAGAAGTGTGTAGTCAGGTGTGTCGCTACCAATTAACTGAATACCAGGTTTGTTACGCTGCTGCATTATGTAATTGCTTTCTTTATTGAGGTCAGATTTCACCTGAACCGTTCAACTAGTCAAAACAGATTTTACAGACATCGAGAAGAGGCCAACGACGAAGCATGTGCCTCGTCTGAAGTGACTAAGGTCATTAACAGCGTCAGTATTTGAAGTAGATACCACATTGGTGCCAAAACACCAATGGTGATCATCGACGAAAGCCTGAACCAGATCAAATAAAGGAATAATCTGGGAACCACTTGACTATCATTTAATAGGGGGCACCTTAGGACCAATTTTAGGTTGCACGGTGACATTGCCGGTTCACACAGAGCACTTTTAATAGCAGATTACTTACAGAATCAAGGGAATGAGCAGCTACCTTGGTCATCAAAATCGCCATATTTGAACTACATATACAATATGTAGGTAGGCAATTACTCGCCAAATCAATGTCCTACATGTCCTACAACAAAACTGGACCAAATTGTACAGATTTTGACCGATGCCTGGAATGTCATTCCATATTGAACTCCAAAAACCTATCCCAAGGAATGCCTTGCCAACTTCAGAAGGATGGTAGCAGCCAGAAGAGATCAGGCGTAACAACGACCGTTACTGTGACTAGACACTGACATGAGGGTCCTTTGTTGAGCGTGTAACAATAATTTGGAAAATAATTTGGAAAATAAGGAGATCCAAAATATCTCTTTTAATGATTGTCACATGATATAGAATAGGCAATGTGTTTTTGTTTGATTCTCTGACGAATTCAGGTAATGAACTGATGTCACAATGACATCAAAGAGATAATTAAAAATTATTAAAGCACGATTTTAATATTTATTTTCATTTATCAGTCAGCAAAATAGGAAAGAAACTGATGAAAAATGATTTTGAAAAAAATATTCCATATTAAATGTCAAGTCTGTATATATGAGGCAATGATTCGGAGAATTGTGGGATGTTTTCAAGCCACCGAAGCAGTTGAATAGGCCTTTTTCGGGCTGCATGTGAAAATGCTACATGACAGTCAACATGTATATACAAGAAATTCTTTAATCTCCGCTTTTTCATTTTCTTATGGCATATAATCGGGTGTTTAGTGTTTGTGGATCTGGAGTCTTCGCATGTTATCTCTGACTACGTTGCGAAAAAAATCATCTGCGACGTTACATCCACAGTTTTTTCACATGCTCCCGTTCAATAAAGCTGGTTCCTTTTTTCAAACGTAATTAAATGTTATATGATGATAAGCGACCTGTAAAAAGGCTGACATGAGAAAGAAATACCAAACTGGAGCGGGTGGGTTGCGGCTTTAATTCCCAGTCAGAGAAAATTGTAGCAGTCCGCAATATTCCGTTTCTCATTACAGATTGTACTAACCGCAATACGTACTTCCGGCTAACCGGGTTACTTCCGGTTAGCCCTTTCCGGGTACTGGTCACATGGAGCTATGGGACCCGGACTTCCCCTTCCGGGAATACCATTCCTGTATCCTGATTATATATCTTTGATCTTGATACCCAGCATTAATACATGTATAGTACCCTATTCATATCGGGTGGGGTCGTTTACGGAAGCGTAATTTTTAGTATACGTTATTTTTCCATGGAATTTCAGGGATTCGTCACATTTTTATCGGCTTTCATGAGATAGTTCGCAGGTTTTGTATCGTTTAGGCCTATGGTTATTTTACTAGACTCAAAATAGATTTCCGCCATTTAGCCATGTTGAACATGCCATTTTATTCCATAAATTCCACGCAAATTATTTATTAGATTAAAATATGCCAAA